CTCGATGGGCCAGTCACAAGTGGTCAGGAGCTCCTCCAATCTGACGCCATCATATACGACTTCTCTCCTTACTCCAACACGGCGGCAGATCTTCTTTTCCACTTTCGGCTGAGTCGCACTTGTGCTCAGGAGGCGGTGATCGGAATTATTGCTGAAAGAGGATATCCCTGAGACGCCCAGTAAGCACCACCTGTTTGTAAGAATATTCGATCTTCGCATAAGTCATACCGTTGGGCGATTCCCACTTCAACCGCCGTTGTTCTTTCTTCCTAACGATGGAAGTGATATAAAAAGGTAGTGCGGCGGATAAGAGCCCAACGCGACGCGTACCATTTTCAATCCGATGTCCTGATCTGATTTTCCCGGTCCCATCCTCCCCTTCTCCTGGCATTACGATTTTTGCATTGAAACCACCCGAGACGAATTTGTAGAAGGAATTTTCTTTGCGGATGACTTCCTCCAAATCAAAAGCAACAAGTTCCAAGTTTTCAGTTGCTTATGTTGAAACATAGCAGTCAGTGATAGTGATAATTTTCTGATGCAGAGTGGAGTTGAAAGTTAGCCAGAGAGATGATAGGGTATCGTTGAATCAACAAGATGGACAACAGATGGGTGTACGACAAATCCGACGCCTCCAACATTGCTGATGGAACTTTCTCACCACGAATGAAGAGTGTGCTATCACTCAGCTGACTCACGTCCGTCTTCCTAAACTTTGTTTCCTGCAGGGCGACTACGTCGTAGTTCATGCGCCCCTTAGCATTGGGAAAGACATGATGATTGGCATTAGTAGAAGCTATCCTGGCGTTGCAGGTGCAAAGCATGAGAAGTCTCCATGTCGAGTCGTTGACGTATCCTTTTGGTCCGAAATCCATGACGTCCTGTGCAACATAACACTGCTCTTGATGACATCCGTCGCCGTTGATGTGATCCAGTGCGCAAGGCTTCTTTTCCTTATGCTGTACGAGCAATAAATTTTTCCCGAACTTAGCAGCCTTGTCAGGGCCTGCAAGCTTTCACCACAGGCAATCGCTGAGCCATGTGGATCAGCGAACCACCTAGTGACTGAATCAGCCATATGGTGCGCTGCTTCTGGCATAGAGTACTTTTAGTTGGACATCCGGGCTTATTCTGTTTATGATCAAAATTTTCTTGTTTTCAGCGAAATTGAGCTAGTAATTCGCAAGATTACGTCGTGTTCCTAGATCGCGGTCGCCGCCAAAGGGACTTTTGAAGAGATCACTACAAGCTGCTCAATTCTACATCCATTTTCTTTTTCTAACCTCAGAAGTCACGCGCTCGGTAATTTAGTTCTCACAGCACAGATAACAAAAAAGTAATCTCCTCCCAAAAATGCTCTTAATGGAAAAATGTTAAGGTGAGTAATTAATATTGCTGGGAGAAACCAGATTTTGAAAAGCAATCACTCTTTTGAAAACTTGAGTCAAATATTCTGCAGAGCGTTCGCTTGTTGCACGCTAAAATCAAGAAGTATACAAGAACTGTTCATGAGATTTAAACAATGAAAACGATTTTTCGGGCCTCCGAGCCAATTGCGGATTGCTTACCAATCGTATCCTCTTTAACTTTCTGCTATATCGTTCCACTATGTGGCATGCCCATGGACCAGAAATCCGCTTTGGTGGAGGCATCTGCAAACTTTTCATGAGAAAGAATTCTACAGAAATGAATCAAAACGAGAGTCTTCCGTGCAGTACATCGAAATAAATGAAACACTTCCAATTTTATAGAATAGCTTCCACAAAACCTTAATGAACAAGTACACGGTTTATAGTTTTAGTTATGTTTAATATAAATTTGTTTACTAGAAGAGAAATTTGCTTGCGATATGTTAGTGCACTATTAATCTCACTTCCTTACTGAGCAGCCTGAAAGACTCTAAAGCGACGTGAAGCTTATTCCAGTCTTAACTTCTTAACAATTTGATCTTACCAACATGTGATTTATTATATAAAGATCTGTCCGCTTCACTGTTTTCGCATCTTAGCATAGTGGAGCCTTGTAATTTCAACTGGTTCGGGCAGTCGGCAAAAATCTCAACAATCTTTTATTGACCTACGTTTTCGGCGCTCCGCCAGAAATTTGGATGATGTACGGCTTGTATAAAAGCGCATCATTTATGATGCACAGAGTGTCCCAATGCAAAAAGTGTGATTGGTTTAGTACAAAAGCTAGTTGAACCTAGATTTTCAATTATAAATGAAGCTTGTACACTCATATTATGATGGGACTTTGCGCAAAATCGTAGGTGCTTTAGCGCTGCCGCTAAACGCTTACCGCAATTTTGGCTGAAAAACATATGGTCACAAATGGGCATCACATTCACATTCGGACTTAACTAACTTTCACAAAAGCTTCCGGCAATGTTGAAACTGTTTTTGGGCAACTGTCAATAGTGCCCCAGCGCTAAAGCCAATTAACATGTGCTGCCTTAAATTAATGGAAAAAAGGACACGACCCTTGTAAGAAACCAAGGGTCATTTCAAATTCACATCATAAAGCTTTCAAAAGCTCTCTTAAATTAAGACCAGTTTAAAGTTCAATAGTAATCACTCTTTGCCTTATCGCTACGACACTGTCGCACAGCTGAGACAGTTGGACAAGTGCCACAATCAATTCCGGCCAGTAGTTTGAGAACTGCGGTATGGTAGACCTCCTCCGTGGTTTTGCAACTAAGACCCAGCTATACAATATCACATAGAAAATACGAAATATCTGGAAAAAAATGTCCCTCACACACTCTGCAGGAAATTTAGCATAATCATAACTTACCACATGATAAACAAATTTCGCCTTTGTAGTAGTGTAGAATTTCAGAGTAGACCATATCCAAGACCTCTTTTTCCAAATCCGTTGAGGATAGACCTCGAATCTGTCATCTGTCGGAGAATCTTCTTCCTTTGGTTCTTCTTCAATAGGAAATACCGTAGATTGGTCTATCCTTTCAATAACTGTAGGTGATGGAGTGGAAGTAGGTTGGAATAGAGACATATCACTTTCTCTTACAGGAAATCTTGGGGCGCAAAACTTTATTTGATGTTTTCCACCACTCACATTGAATGGTGATGCGTGCAGAGTAGCTTGTTGCACCAAAAACTCCAATTCCATCGAACTTGGAGTCAAAGCATCATGTGGGATTAAAAGCTGAGACCCATAATTTTCAGTGTTTGGAGTCATCGGTTTTTGAGAAGTGTTCAATAGCAGATTCTCAGCCTGTTCTTTGGGGAGTTCTCTTTCCGAAAAGGATTTGGCAGTTTCTGCTATACGAGTGTCTTTTCTTTCTTTTCTTAATTCAGGCCCTCTTGCTTTTCTCAGAGCGAACTCCTTGTAGATGAAACAGGGGAAGATATAACTGATGAGCGTTCGCGTCTGAAAACACAATTAGAAATTTTATGATTTAAGAAGGAAATTGTGTTGTTGGAAAGAATTTGTCCAAGTACATATACACAATATTTTTTTCAACTAAAATTCAACTAAAATTTCACAAATTAAGTACAAATACATTGCAATAGCAAAAGAAAAAGCGTGGAAAATTATTGCTCCAAGGCATGCTTCGTTAAATACGTCAAGTTTATAGATGGTTTTCTACATTCCAAAAAGTGTAAAATTTGATAAAAAGCGAAGGAAACATGCCAACTACACGTCTGTTGCTGATTCACAATTTTTTCTCGATTCACTTTGATATCATAGAAACTCAAAACAAACACTGTCAAAAGTTCAACCTGTTGAAATACGAAGGGATATAATGCTATGCGAAAGGCAGGGACGTTATTGGAACAATGCTTTAGCTATCTGCTGCTTCGATACCGCATGAGAGTAGGCGTCTATGCGTACTTCTTATATTTATCTTACAAACTAGATATTTTGGTAACATCACATTATAGATGTATTGAGAGCAGGCGTTAAGGAGTCATATCTGCATTTAGCCTTTTAGAAATAGTGTCGATTTTTTAAAGGTCAGTGTTAGCTCGTTGGCCTGCAAGAGAGGCAAACCTGATATTTCAACTTCTGAGACAGCTGCTTTGATGGCTTAATTATGATAATTCCAGCATCCTTTGGTATTTTTTTCCTATTAGGGTCCGATACGAAAAATTCGAACTATAAGCGACCATATTTGGCAATTCTGTTAATCAAAAAGAACTATTGTATAGCGCATTCTCTGCTTTTCCAGATAGGACCAGATGGTATAAATCCGTAGGATTAAGAAGT